TCTATTTTTGTAGACATCGCTCAACTACAATACCTGTTACTGTTGCTCATCGATTTCCAGATCAGCGCGGACCAATTCCCTTCCCCGGCACAGAATTATTGATAATAAATATATCAAGAAAAAGAGAAAGAAAATAGAGTGCGGGGGAGGGTCCGGAGAGAGAGAGAGAGAGAGAGAGAGAGAGAGAGAGAGAGAGAGAGAGAGAGTATGCCGGCAAAAACACAAAATAAGCATCGCGTAGGCGCCGGAAAAAAGGCATAGCCGCCCGCACGCTATTCCAAAAGGAGATTCGTGTGCGTTCCCGAGTACCCGGATCGATCCGTTTTCTTCACCTCTTTCGGTTTTCTAACCTCAAAAATGCGCCGTGCCACATAAACGGACTCGCCAGCAACTATTTATTTTCACCTTACGTTCGAACACAAATTTTTAACAACGATAATTACTTCAATTTGAACTTTCGTTATCGACTAATCCCATTACATTTACCAAAGGGACAAACTTCATTGCATTATATTTATTATTCTTTTGGTACCGCTTATAGTTTTGGCACACGCAATATCAAGCGAAGCTAATTGATAAAGTAATCGTCTATTTTTGTAGACATCGCTCAACTACAATACCTGTTACCGTTGCTCATCGATTTCCAGATCAGCGCGGACCAATTCCCTTCCCCGGCACAGAATTCGTACGGAAAATAATCTCCCGGGACTGTTATCTTCGTTTATCGTACTCGGATAAGATTTTCGGATACAAAAATTAAATCCCACACTCAACCACGGCACGCTCGCTCGCACATACGCACATGTGTATGCCAAGTGCCGACGTTAACAACTCGCACACATGCGCGCGCGGGCACGCGACTACATACGTCACGCACGCATGTACGAGGCGGCTTTAGGACGAATCCGTTCCGTATTCCGAGCGTTTCTCGCGCCAATCCCCATAACCTCGCAGCTAGTAAAACGTAAACGCCCCGTGAAGGCATATGGCCTCGGTGCCGAAAATACCAAGTAATCACGAGCACGGATGTTTCCCCGAGTCGTCAGTAGTATCGTACTGCCAAGGGAAAAAATAAACCTTCCTCGTATAATAAACGAAGCGACAAAAGAAAGCAGAAGAGCCGACTCCACCCACCTGCTCAGTCGGTCGTCTCGATTCCGCTCGTTCGTCCTAACCTCCTGGCCCTTTTTCCACCTTCCGTCTTTCTCGCTCTCCTGGCTCGATTGTCGTCTCTCCGTCACTGTGCCTGTTCCGACGCACCTCAATCCTCGAGTCGCGTGTCACCTGCAGGATCGCATGCATAAACAGGGGGATTTGGGCGGGGCGGGAGGATAATAGGCGGCCGGGCTTGTTCTCCTCAGCGACCTCTCCTTGGAGGAAAATCACGCAGTGATCGTGCTGGCCGTTACGACAGTCGCTTGACCAACAACTTCCAAAGTCTGCCGCCTCGTCAAATGCCGAACGCGTCGTCTGCTACGCCTCTCCCCGAAACTCGGATCACGACTCCCCGGTGTCCAGTGGCCTCCACTACCACCGGTTGGCGAACGCGGCCCTAGGACAAGCGCACGCCGGTACTCCGAGAGGCACGTCTCACGGTGTGTCGCGCCCTAGCCCGCCCTCCCTGCCACTGTGTACACGCGCTCGTTTCCTTGGTGCTCTCGTAAGCGGCGGCCTCTTCGATCGGGACGAATACGCTTTATATGCTCGTCCTTTGGTCGAACGCGCGCACACGCCACTAAAAGGCGGAAGTATCGAGGAGGGGAAGAAAGCGTCCCGCTTCAATGGTCCTCTTAATAATCACCTCGGTGCGTCTCTCTGATGTCCCGGCGACGACTCCTCGACGTTGGCCCTACACGCGGTCGCGCTCGACTGGCGGCCCCCGCCTTTTAGCACTGCACTCTATCCGCCCGATTTTTGCTTGTTCTTCTTGTGCCCGCTGATCGTGTCTTAGCCGCTTTGGCTTCCCGCTTGCCGCGAGGTGAAACAAGAGCCTGCGGCGAGCCCCCCCGCCCCCGCCACCACCGCCCCCGCCGCCGCCGCCGCCACCGCCACCACCACCACCGCCACCGCCATCACCGCCACCGCCGCCGCCGCCGCTGCCGTTCCTCAACGCATCGCCCTCTCCTCGTCGCCTCCCGCTTCCTCGATCGTAGCCCGACCCGCCCCGTCCCGTTCCGACCCGTCTCGTCCCGTCCCGTCCCGTCCCGCCCCGCGAGTGATTGGGCGAATAGCGCGATGTTTGCACGTACGTTCGACGTGGAATCGGCACCGGCCAAGAGCTAATAGACCGAGCGACAAAATCCGCTGGCTTAAACACACATACACGCGCGCGGGAGTGCGCGTGGCCTCGATGAATGAAATTAACGAGGGCTAGTTTATCCGTGCGCTCGTGTGTTTTTGCAAACGATGAACCTGTCCCGACGTTTTTCTCCCACCCCTCGACTCTCGCTCGCTCCACCCTCTCCAACCCGTCCCGTCCCGTCCCGTCCCGTCCCGTCCCGTCCCGTCCCGATCACCGAACCGTCGCTCCCCCCGAGCGCTACGATGCGCGCGATGATGATCCCCTCTACCTAACAACTGTAAAGGCGTGCTTATGGATGGCGATCCTCGGAAATAACCGCAAGGAAAGAAAATCTTACGCGCAAGTACGATTCGGCTCTTTGTAATAGCGATACTCTCGACTTCGAGACGCTCTACTCCATCCCACATTGTGCCACTTTTGCAATGATTTTATGGGGTCAGCCGAGAGCTGGGGAAACAAAAAAAATGTCCTCCTAAGATTTATTTTGCCACGATTGATAATGCAATAATAGCGCGCGAATAACATTCGACGGATTCGATAATAATGAATTATGGCACTGTTTCTTCGTCCTACCCGAGGCACTAAATTACTACATTAATTGATGCAAATAAATATATACTTTATTCGCAAGAATCACGCAAATATTGCGACAATAGCAATAAAAACGTAATGTATTAATTTTACGCAAATACTCTACTCTATTATAATAGAGATATTATATAAAATGAAAAGAACAAAAGTAGAAAAAAGCAAGGCTTCTCTTAAAATACTAAATATTTTTTAAATGTTGAATGTGCACGTAGAATACAAGGATATTTCATATATCAAAATAGAATGAAACTCATAGCAAATAAATTCTTCCTCGAATATTTTATTATTTAGAATATCATTGAGCTTGATTGGCTTATCTTTCAATAAAATTATTCAATGAAAGTATTAATAAAACGTATTTTCTTATTGTCAAAGATGGCACTGGAATACAAATTTTATGAAAACTTTACCAGTTTCATGAATTTCTAATAATAGTAATAATAGTTAGAGTAATAGTAATAAACCGAAGGAAGTTAAATTTTTTGTTACATTAAACGCTTAAGCGCGTACATAGAAACCAGTGAGTACACTAATGACTATGACTTATTTTCTGTTTTCATTACATATTAGCAAGAAATCTTTCATTTACTAAAATGTAAATTTCATTATGAACGCACTATAAAGGTGTTAAATGTTCCCGTAGAAGAATATGTTAATTATCGATGCACTTATAATATAAAAGAGATGCTTTACATTGAGCTTCCAATAGTCTCTTTATGAAATTGTTATTTTCAATTTGAATTTGACGTTTGTTCGTAGGCTTTTTGAAAAGTGCCTCAATACTTTAAGACGCAATGAATTTCAAAAGAAAGAGGTGAAATAAATTTGTCAAAACAAAAAAAAAACAAAAAAAAAAGAATAATTATAAAAGCAAAACGTAGGGGAGTAGCAAATTAAAATGTCGTTGTAAACGGTTAAATGGGAACTTATAAATAAAATTATTTTTAAAACTTCTGGTGATAAAAAAGCTCGTAGAATGCACAGCTGTCAAGGAAGTATGAAATATCACGATAATTGTGAAAAGTATAAATGTAGCTGAGACCGATTCTCTCCGTTTAAAAATAACTCACACTACGTCAAAACGATATATTTTTATATCCTTTAATAATTGATAATTGACAATTACGAACTAATAGAAAGCATTGTCGATATTGACTTGGCAATCGATTAAATCAAAGACGCCAAATGTATAAATAAAGTTTGTGATTCAACCTTTAAGGAAAGTCCAATAATTTCCTCAAGGATCGAACAAAAAAAAAAACAAAAAAAACAAAAACAAAAACAAAAAAAATACGATTACCTAGAGTAAGGAAAAACAGGCGAGAGGATTGTAGGAAAAACCAGCTTAGTAGACTCGTTAAGCACCTCTAAATTAACGAAGACACCATCCGCCTCGAGAGTTCCTCACACTTCCTCAATTTGAATTTCTTCTTTGAGTCGTCGGCATCCTCCTTACCACCACCACCGTCGGCTCAACCGGATTCACCAGGAGCGCGCGAATTAATTCGTCGGTAATGCGCGCGCACATTTGGACTTTGGAATGAGCTCCGCGTAGTCAGTCGATCAGCTAATGAACCCCGTAAGAGCTGACGCCTGTCTACACGTTGTTCGTGATGCTTATGCAAAGTCCAAATTAATTAACATTTCTCGGTAGAAAGGGTTTGGCATGAATTTCGTTTTTGCTACATTCAGCCCATCCTCCGTTTACGTAATTTAACCTACGCTCGCATGCGACCCCTCTCCCTATATAATAATACCATGAGTCTTATCATATTAATACTGTAATGAACGGATCCATGCACTAAATAGTGACTACTATGATAATAATAATAATAATAATAATAATAATAATAATAATAATAATAATAATAATAATAATAATAATTATAATAATATAATCGCGACAGAGGTTTTTATGTGCACGAGAGTCAAGTCTTTTAACAAGAAGCGAACTATCCGTTTAAAGATTTATTAATATGAGAACTGTACATTTTGATCGCTCTATTCTATAAAATGTTATTCTATAAAAAAACATCTTGAATTGAAAAGAAAAAAAAACCGAGAAACTTGTTAATAGAATATAAATGTGTTAGTTAAAAAATCCATCCAATTTACGTTTTATTGTTGTTAGAAGTAAGCAAACTCGGAAATATCCGTTGCACCTGTTTTCTATTTTACTATTTAAGTATATTTTGAATGCAAATTACGAAAGAACAGCATTATCGATCTGCCTATTTGCAATTTATATTCGATAAAAGTTACGCGAAACACTCCCTAACTAGAAGATATAATAATCTCATCCAAAGTGTTATTATTACATTTTTCCATCCTACCTCTCTTTTCTTTCCCTTCATCTATTATAAATACAATTATTGTTAGACTAAATTAGTATATACAAAGTTGTACATTTATCATGACTCTAAAGAATATAAAAATTAAATAACCCGCAAGAAGCATTAACAATCGTAAAAGATGATTCGTAGATAATATAAAGCATCACTATCCCTTATTTACCGAACTTGCAATAACTAAATTTTTCTTGTGCTAATAAATAAATAGTAAATAATGAAGAACAATGTATATATATATATATATATATTGAGTATTTTTTTGTTTTTTTTTTGTTTTTGTTTTTGTTTTATAACAATTAAAGTAATTATTTCTTTTTATATTATTCTACAATGTTTATTTATTGGTATTATACCGTTATGAATATAACAACAGTAGTTCAAAAGATAAAAGATATTAATAATTTATAATATTTTGAATATTAAATTCAAAAACAAATTATTTAATTTAAAAGTTCACAGAAATTTTGATAGAATATAAAAATATTAAAATACTATAAAAACAATATACATATATACATGCGTACATATATACGTATATATATATATATATATATATATATATATATACAATTCGTAAAAAATAATGAGAATTGAAAAACTCGTAGAAAGAATGCTTTTATTTTTATTATGTACTCCTACTGATTTTACAAAAACTTTATAGCCAATATGATTCATAATAATTTATAATTTTCGACTTACCTAATATATCTAAAAGTATATTTTACCATGACTATGAATTAGCACATTCTGTATAATAAAAAAAAATTATTCTTTTATGTTGAATTATATTAATTAAGAGTTTAAGAATGCATTAGTAAAAAATGAAAGAAATTAATAAATTTTATCTTATGTATTAAATCGCATAAATAATTCTTCGACCCAAACGTGACTGTCTCGTAAATATGGATATTCCTCATATTTTACTATAAACATTTTCTTCTGATATTTAAATTAAAATAGTTAAAAAAAAAAACTTATCTACATAACAGTTAATATAAGTAATAATGCACAATAAGATTTAGAGAAAGTTACGCATCTTGATTACTGCAAGTCTTATTACGCAAACTCATTATATTAAAAGTCACGTTCATTACCAATACTAAAACAAAGATATTTAAACGTTATCTATTTACGTACTAACACACTTTAACACATGATTATTTCAAAAATATCAATAAATAAGTAAAAGATATTATCAAAATAAAAATTGAAATTTTTGTACCACCAAGTAACAGAATACATTGCTTAATATAACACGTATGTTTTTAAAAATGCATTACGATCAGAACGATTGGTATACATTTTCATTATTATAAAAGTCACGCTTATTATTAATTAAAGAAAGTTAAAGATCTTTAAATATGTAATTAAATAGATTCAGAATACAACTATATTATTCAAATTTCTGTTGTCTACGAAAATTTACAACTATATTTTATGATCTCAATATTGTAAAATCTTGAATCTTGAATCTGATTTCAATTTGCGATTAAATTCCTAATAACTAAAATTTGTATTTTTATTATAGTTCACTATACGCTCAAGTAGAATAATTACAAAAATTAAAGTACTGAATCTCATTCATAATATTTAAAAATAAGCATATATAATATAGGAAAGAAGGTACTGAACAGACTAAAAATAAAATATGAGATATTTTT